CACTGTTCTTTCATAATATCTTGTGTTTATTTGTACTATAAAAACTCTAGAAAATTGAATTATAATTATTACTTTAAAACATCTGTCTTCTTCCACAGACTTTAAGTTACTTTAGATGACAGCTGAAGGTTTTTATTCATCTTTGTATTCCCAACATAAAGGATAATACAAGACAAGTGATAGGAAATGTTTGCTAAGCAATTTCATAAGGCAGAATTGGATATATGAAATGGCATAGTGTGTTTGGGAGTTCTGTGAACTGGCAGCCTCCAGACAAGTAGGAGGCGCTGTTGCCATCTTTGTGGTATCCATGAATCACAGCTTTGTCTCTGACTCTTAGTTCTTCTACAAAAAAGGCCCCCAAACCTGTCCAAATTGTCATTTTATACAGACATCCCTATCCCATTCAGGGTACATTTTGACATTAAATCAAATCAAATCCCTCAGAACATGACAAAAGCTAGACTACAGAGGGAACAGGAAGAACAGAATCAATGATCACTAGCATGATCACACCAGTCTTGAAACACTAGGTAAATTGTAAGTATGTTTTGAAAATGAAGACAGAGCACTTCAGATGCCACTTCCTAGGGGGATGACAATACATTTTAAGTTTAACATCTGTTTTTATTAAATTGGTGTCTGTTCCTTCTATAGATATATTACTTTGTAATGTATATAGTATTAATTTGCTAGCTGAAAAGCAAAAGTTTAAAGTATGAAGCAGATGAAATTATATCATAGGGTGACAAGAACAAATACTTGACTAAAAACAGGTCTGATTTTCATGCCAGAGTTTCCAAGATACTTCATAAATGGCATGGAAGTCATTTCTTTCATCAAAAGATGAGATATTCTTTATGTTGAATTCAACAGCTCTTTTAACAATTGTGTGTGTGTGTGTGTGTGTGTGTGTGTGTGTGTGTGTGTGTGTAGGTATGTATGTTTATGGACATGCACATGCCATGGTATGTGTGAGGAGGTCAGAGCACAATTTCAGGGAGCCATTGATTTCTACAGCATGGGTCCCTGGTATTGAACTGAGGTTGTCAGGCTTGATAATAAGTGCCTTATCCATGAAGCCATGTTGGAAATCCAGAAGCTCTTTTACATGTCATAATTGGTACAGAAAAGAAAAAAAATGTAAAACCCTTATCTTAAAGTCTATGGATTCTTAGTGTAGAAAAGAATAAAGCCATTCATGGATATAAAATATGGAAGGCAGAGGACTGTTGGAGGTTAGCACCTCCACTTCTATAGACTGTTCTCTAAAGTCACTGCTAGCTGGAAGAGTTGAGATCTCCCGTGACAGACTCCACATAGAGTCCATTTTTTCCATATTGACATTTTGGAACAACTCTTTTGCAAGTGAAAGAAAAATCATTTGTGTAAACAAAACTGCACTAGCCAACTCATAGTTGTAGAGGTAGAATCCAAGAGTCCAAGATTAGACTTCTCTGTGTTTGGGAATACTGAATGCTATAGTGGGAGCACTTAGCAAGACAAAGATCCTCAACTCATAGCCAAGCTGAGAAAGAGAGGAAAAAGGGACTGGAATCCAAATACACTTCTTTCAAGGGTGTCACCCAGTGATTGAAGACCTCGTGCTGGGTTCTACTTCTCTGGGTTCTACTTGCTAATAGTTCCAGGAGCGTGGGGGGGGTGGGTCAAGATCTAATGCATAAACCTTTGATGAATATGCCCTTGAACCAATTGAGGTAAAGAAGGGTGTGGAGGCAGCCAATATGGATGGTAGATCACAAGCACCATCTTGTCTGATCCGGTGAAAGAAGATCCCTGTATGCCTCTTAGCATTTATAAAGAGCATAGAGCAATGTGAGGCTCATGTGAAAAAGCAAAGCAACAGTCTTGACTAAGGTTGCTCCAGCTCCTCACTTAAGCATTTTGTCTAAAATAACTGGAAAGCCCAATATTACCTATTTGACTTATCATATTAATCATACTCCCACCTAGGAATTAAAATACTCTACAAGCTAATCTGTTCTTGTCCTTCTGGAATTTTCCCTTCCTGACACCCATATTCCCGTTGGAGTCCCGTTTTTTTCAAACATGGTTTCAGGATAGTGTGGGAGAGGAATCAGATGCCTAGCTTTAAAATGACATATACTATGTGTATATTCAGTTTTTCCTTTGAGTGAAAAAAAAAATGGTATTGGGACAAGTTGTGTAGTGTGGTGGTTAAGAGAATGGCTTCCAACTCTGAAGTGAGTTTAGCACATTACCTCATTATCACTTCTCCAGTTCATCATTGAAATCAAGAACTGATAGGATTATGGGAAGCATTAAATGAGATAGTAAAACAGCACAAGTGCTGGGGAGTACACATGTGGTTATTCATGTACATGTGTGTTCATACATGTGGAGGGCAGAAGTCAATCCTAGGCGTTGTGCCTCAGGGGCTGCTTGCCTTGCTTTTTGAAACCTGTCTCTCACTGGGACTTGGGACTTGCCAGTTAGAGGAGGCTAGCTGGAGGGCAAGCTCCAGGCATCTGCCTGCATCCACTTCCTCAGCACGGAGATTACCAGCATCTGCCAGAATGCATGGCTTTTGATGGGGAATCAGACCCAGGTTCTCATGTTTGCTCAGCAAGCACTTTACCAGCTTGAGCTACCCCGCTCCGCCCCCTCCCCCCAACCCCTAGTTTTTACTTCCAATTGGAACTGAAGATTTTCTTGTGGCTTTGTACCTACTTTATTTTTTGTTGTTGTTTAAGCATATGCCTTAATGCATTACTTAAAATGTAGAAAACTTTGTTTAGGGGCGTTGGTCCAAAGAAAAAAATGGAAAAAAGTACTAGGAAAAGAGACCCTAATCTGACCTGTCAATGCTGCCATTCTCCTCTGGCTCCTCTGGCTTCCCCCTCCAGTAGCTTGCGCATATTGGGTAATTAACAATTCAAATTTCACTCAAAAGAGAAAATACTAAGCTTAATCTCTTCTCCTTCCTGTTATTTTTAATTGTGTATATTTTGTTTCTAATCATGGTTCTTTGGGAAAAACAGAATATGTTTACTACAGAAAAACACATATCCTTTTAGCTAAGTAAATTTGGAAGCAAAAGCTTGTCTCCATGGTAAGAAGACGGGCAAGGAGTAGTATTAATAGACATTAGCACAGTGGTGATTGGTGTTTTAAAGTATACAGGAAGGCCTCCTCAGCCTCCCCTCCTAAAACAGTACCATGAGCTCTAAATTGTGTTAAACTGGGGAACAAGAAAGGAGCCAGCTATACCATGACATTTCAGAGTGAGTCAGTGGTCAGCCTCCCTGGAAGTGTGGGAAGCAGGCACCTCTTGGCCCCACAGCACAGGGAAGCTTAATTGATCCTCCATTGTTTGGGAGAAAAGCTTTGAAGATACTTCTGGTTGCTAAGTGGCAGAATCACAGACATAGAATCTTGCACTAATATTTGGATCCTGAAGTAGTTAAAGTAATAGAACCTCAGCGTGCATAATAACCTACAGGGTAAGGATAAACTGGCATTTTTATTTCTTCTCCAGGCCAGTTTGGGGCCTCAAGCAATCACTTCCTTTCTCTCAGCTTTTTCTCCAGGCCTTCATGCCGAGTCTAAAGGAATTCCTCCCCCTGTATACTTTTCCACACTGTATGCTGGCAGGCTCTGTTATTCTATCCTATTTCTCCAAGTGATTGAAATTCTACAAAGTTACTTGGGTGGTAATATAGTGCATCCCTTTTTAGCTGTTATCATCTATTTTTTTTGAGATAACTTTTGCTCTATCCTCTTGCCCTATCTGTATTTTCTTATCTTTTTTCCTTTCCATTCATTTACATGGTTATATTCTACAATAGAAAGACTTTTAATCCACCTATTAATTTGACAAGATATTGATAAATAATAAATCTTATTTTAAGAACACACACACATATATATATATATTTATGGTGTATGTACATATTCCTATTAAACGTGTGTGCAACTGCATGTGTGGACATGTGCATGTGGACGGCAGTGGTTGATGTTGAGTATTTTCCTCAGTCTCTCTCCAACTTATTTTTTGAGACATGGTTTTTTCATTGAAACTCATCAATTCAGGTAGGCAGACGGGCCACTGGGATCCCAGAATCTACTGTTCCTCCTTCCCTCCCCTCCTAACCCCCAGTTCTTGGGTTACAGATACGCTGCGTCTACACTCAGCCTTTTATGTTGCTGGGGATCTGAACCCAGGTCCTCAGGCTTCTGTTTCAGGCACTTCACAGACAGATTCATCTCCCCAGCCCCCTAAACATATTAATTTTATGGCTATTGCCCCTTTGAAAAGTGTTGGAATGATACTCACGTAGGCTTTGGAATTAATTTCAGAACCATTTCTCAAGAAAATCACCCTGCTTCCACCATGCAGCAAGAACTTCCTGTTTTGGCCAGATTGGCATTATTAACCTAACTGGTGTGGTGAGACCTGATACCTTTGATAGCTTTCAGAGCTCATGGCAGTCCTATGGGATGAAAATGCAGGCTAGTAAAGAGTTTTAGAAGAACATGGAACATATCCTAAAAAAAAAAAATTCTCAAAGGGAGTTAAAAAATTCTGCTTGGATAATAGCAGAAAAAACTGATGTAAGGGCTAGTTCCTAAGGACTTTAGAATGGTAACTTCATTTTCTAGGTAGGTTTCCATATTTCTGGTAATGAGTTAAACTTAGTTTAATTGAACGTGAACATAAAGAGGTTCATAATTTTTTATGACATTTATTTTACACATGTGTGTAGGCATGTTCATCCTATAGAATACAGAGTTCAGAGGGCTCCTTACACCATGTGAGTCCTAGGGATTTGAACTCAGGTCATCAATCAATCTTGGCAGCTAGTACTTTTGATACACACTGAGTCATCTCTCCTGTCCCTCAAATATATATATATATATATATATATATATATATATAGGAATTCATTCACAGGATACATGTAGAGAATATGTTTTTAATAACAGCAATAGCAATATGTCTTCCTTATTGTCTCTAGGTCTATACTTAATAAGAAGGAGCTGCTGGAGTTTGCACAACTTGGCTGCTACTTGGAATATGATCTCTTTGGCACGGAGCTCCTTAATTACCAGTTCAGCCCTGATATCGATATGCCTGATGATAACAAAAGAATTAGAAGGTAAATATGCTGGAGTCTCTCATCACATTCTCTTCTGCCAGCCCTTTTGGCTTGTCATAGCTGGGTGAGTTTTAGCAAAGATTTGGAAAATAGTAAGCAGGCTGAAGCAGCCTTGGCAGAGAAAAATGTATCTGAGCTGTTCCAGGGAGAAAATCTCTATATATTATTTCAAGAAGAAAATGAGTCATAGTAAGTAGGCTAAAGCTATCAGAGCCGTAGAAGTTCAGTGCAGATGGACAGCTGACAAGAAACAGATAATACCCTGCCTTTGCCATGACAAGGAGAGAATGAAAGCCATTTCCCCCTTTTACCCATAGTGGAATCAGCACTTCCTCTTTCTGGTTGATCTCACAGAAGCCAAGATTTTCTGCAACTATCAGTTAAAATGCTTTATTAGATGTATCCATTAAGGTGGTCATTACAACTTAAGTGGTAAAATGCCACATGTAAACACCATACATCACATCTTCCCCAAATTGTCTAATGTGTGATAAAGCAAATCACAACAGCATTCATTCTTTGATGGAGTCAAAGATGGCTACTTTGATTGGTCCTGGTCACAGGGTGACATGAATATTAGATGATCCAAGATAGTGACACAGAGAGGAGAAATACATCTGAGATTGACAATGAAGACGTTAGCGTGGGAGTATCTAAGTAATGTTACTCCCTAAAATAATAACTAACATTGGAGTGTGAAGCTCAGCGCGAGGATCTGGGCTGAGACATAAAAGTAGACATAATCAGTTTGTAGGAGCTTGTTCAAATCTTGGGAATACCAAAGACCATGGAGAGAGGAAAGAGGACAGAGATCTGGAGACACAGATATTGAATAGATGGAGTCAATAACAGCATCTTAGGGACAGATAGGTAGAGATGTTTGCAACCTGATACCATCAGGGGAAATGTAATATATATCAGTGAGAAGAGAGGCTTAAAGACAAAGGCTTACAGTAGACAGCAGATATCAAGGCTGAAGAATAACAACTGGGTTGCAAATTAGGAAACTCTCATAGTCAGGAAGTGTGGTCTCAGTAGAAGGCTTGAGAAATGAGTAGGAGCTAAGGAAGGGGGCAGAGAATGTGAAGGTTACTCTTTGCAAAACTATAGTAGTAGAGGGAAACAGGGAGGTGGGCTGGAGGACAACAGGTGATCCAGAGAAACATTTTCCAAAGTTCAACAGTTTATGAAGCTAAGATCAGAAGTAGGGAGAGACAGACACAGAGAGAATAGGTGCAAGAAAGAAAGGTAGTTCTAAGAGATTAATACGCAATTTACATAAAAATACAGTATTCAGAGTTTTGTATGAATGTATGTTACCAAATATGGAAATATTTGATGAATGTTCACACAAAAATATATGGAAAAATAAATGTAGATCCAGGTGCCTAAAGAGACAAAGGGGTGGAATCTGGGGAGTGGGTAACACATTATTTGAGAGAGAATTTCTCCTTTGCATTGGGAAAGCAGGAAGCAAACAGTAATGTTGATACAAATAAATGTCTTAGCAAGAAGATCCAGAACTGAGGCCAAGTACCTTTGTGTTCTCCAGTCTTCATGTGAGGCAGACAGAATTGTCTCTGGAGAAAGAAGGGATAGATTAAAGGTGGGGTCTTGTGGAGAACAGGGAAGAACAGGAATGGCTGCTGAGTTGGAGGCATATTTCTGAGACTCATCCAAGCCTGGAAATCATGGTTGCATGACTGTGTTGGCACTACTGCACATGGTTTACTGATTGTTTTCCCAAAGGATGTTTTTAATATCGAAAATAGTGTTAGTGAAGCATTGTGGGTCAAAAAACTAAATGTGAACACACAAAGAAAGCTAGGATTGGGGTTTTTATCAGAAAGATGCAGTTGATAGTCAAAGGAAGCAGAGGAAGGGTTGAAATGAGAGTCAGGGTGTACAAGCTGGGGGTAAGGTATATGAAGAAATATTGAATTTGCAGGCAAATGGATGGAACTAGAAGAAACCATTCTGAGTGAGGTAACCCAGTCACAAAAAGACAAACATGGTATGTACTCATTCATATGTGGATTTTAGACATAGAGTAAAGGATTACCAGCCTGCAGTCCATGCTGCCAGAGAGGCTGGTAATCAAGGAGGACCCTAAGAGAGACATACATGGTCCCCTGGAGAAGGGGAAAAGGACAAGATCTCCTGAGAAAATTGGGGGGGAGAACTAGGAGAATGAGAAGGGGAGAAGTGGAGGGGTGAGGAAGACATGATGGGGCAGGGAGGGTGGGGGGAGAACAGAAGAGAGCAAGCTAAGAGATAATATAATAGAGGGAGAGAATATAGGTTTAAAGATAAATCAGGCTCTAGGGAAATGTCTGGAGATTTACAAAGATGACACCAACTAACAATCTAAGCAACAGAAGAGAAGCTACCTTAAATGCTGTCTCCTGATAATGAGACTGAAGACTAACTTATATGCCATCCTAGAGCCTTCATCCAGCAGCTGATTGAAGTAGTAGCAGATACCCACAGCTAATCACTGAACTGGAATCCAGTTGCAGAGAAGGAGGAGGGATGAGTAAAGGGGTCCAGACCAGGCTGGTGAAACCCACAGAAACAGCTGACCTGAACAAAGGGGAGCTCTTGGTCCCCAGAGTGATTGCTGGGAAACCAGCATGGAACTGATCCAGACCCGCTGAATGTGGGTGTCAGTGAGGAGACCTTGGAAATCTATGGGGCCTTTTGTAGTGGATCAGTACTTATCCCTAGCATAGGAATGGACTTTGGAAGCCCATCCCACAGGGAGGGATACTCCCTGAGCCTAGACACAAGAGGGTTGGCCTAGGCCCTATCCCAAAGAATATGACAGACTTTGAATACCCCCTATTGAAGGCCTCACCTTCTCTGGGGAGCAGAAAGGGTATGGGATAGGTAGGGTATTAGTTGGGGGAGCAGGGGAGGAGGGGAGGGAGAGGGACCTGGCATTGACATGTAAAATAATTTTCTTTCTAATAAAAAATACAAAAAAGAAATGAGTGTATATTTAGAAATAACATAACAGAAAAGTTAAGTTATAGACTTTAAAAGAAGTGCATGAGTATGTAAAGTAGGGTGAATGGAAACAGTACAAAGAGGTTGAATGATGAGCATGAGAAACTGAAGATTAAGATTTCAGAGAGAGCAGTCCTGAAAAGACAAGGTCCTGTGATAACAAGGACCAAAACTCAAGGGTTTTGTGTAGAAAGCTGATGGGATGGGAGTGAGCAAAACTAGGACTGAGAAATAACGTCTACAAACTGAGGCAGGTATCAATAGTTGAACATGCATACAGTGGGATTGAGAGGACCATCCCAAGCCCATATTCATTTCAAACAAGCTGCAGATTGCTCCCTCAGGAAGGTGACGTTTGTATCTCTGTGCTTTCCTAGACTGCTATGTATTGACATTTGTCTACAATGATCCCACTTCCGTGTCATTAGGTGGAGAGAGCTAGCCGATATTTACATTAGTCGTGTAAAGTGAAGACTATTCCACACAGTAAAGTGCTTCCTCCAACCTGACCAATGAAGCTGTTTTTTTTTTTTTTTTTTTGATACTTGAACTAGTTCTTTGGCAAACCAATCCATTGCCTCTCTTTGTTCCTTTTGTGTATATCTGTGTAGTATGCAGGCATCTTTGAGGCACAGGGTGCACATGAGCATGTGTGCATGACTGTGGGGAGGTCAGAGGTTAACAATGAGTGTCTTCCTCATTGCTCTTCACCTTATATACTGAAATAGGTCTCTTGCAGATCGAAGAGTGTGCTGATGCAGCTAATCTAGCTAGCCAGCATGCTCCAGAGATCCCCTGACTCCACCTTCCAAGGCTGGCATTACAAGTGGGTCACCATATCTGCCCACCTTTTTTATGTGGGTGTTGAAGATCTGAACTCTGATCTTCACTCTTAATGTAGTGAAGACACATTAAGACATCTCCCCAGTCTCTATTTTTATCACTTATTTTGCTTCATGACTTTAATTTTCCTGGTCAGGAACACTGTTCGTATGGACAAACAGGTTTCTTTAAGGCTCTACCAATTTGTGCCGTACTCAGAGGTAAAACTTCTTTGTCCACTGACTTGGATTTTAAGATGATGTGCTATAGTAAGTTATCATCTTTCATTATCTCAAGGTAAGACAAACCAAAACATTGGGCTAGAGAGATGGCTCAGCAGTTAGCAGTACTTCTGTTGAAGAGAATTGGAGCTTGGTTCCCAGCACCCACTTCCCAGGGACTTACAACCACCTATAATTATAGATCCAGGGGATTTGAGGCCCACTTTTGGCCTCAACAGGCACCTGCATGTATATGCTATGCCTAAACACACACACACACACACACACACACACACACACACACATTCTCTTTCAAATGGGTCTTCAATAACTCTTTCATAATGAATGTCTTCAATATATTTTAAATTTAGTTGGGAATGAAGATTTTCAACTCTTCAGTTTGGAATGGGAAGTTTCTACTCTGGATCTGCTTTTTCTTCCTAAATCTCTTTGGCCAGTGGGGTGTGTCTTTATATCACTGTGCCTTCAGTGAGATTGCCAGGCCCTCTGGAACAAGAAAGGGGGCTGATAAAGAGGGGATGTGATAATGGATAAATGACTGATGGCTTCCCAATTAATCCTTTGCAACTACTTTGGTAATTTTGGTTATCTCTTATTGTTCCAATGTAATCATTCTTTATGTGTTAAACATTGAATAAAATGTGTATATGTGTGAATATAAATTATCTGTATATGCTGTATGTGTGTGTGTGTGTGTGTGTGTGTGTGTGTGTGTGTGTGTGTGTGTGTGTGTGTCTGTGTGTGTGTTTCTTGCTTATTTGTCCTTAAATCAATACAATGCATTTGTTCAGTCTTCCCAGCTAGTGATAATAACTGAATGACCTTTGGGGCTATGTGCATTCCCAAACCCCACTGTCCCCATGTATTGAGTACTTGCTTTGCGTCATTCATTGGCAGTCTTTTCTCAGCCATGGCAATCTGCAGCTCCCCAAGTGCAGGAATGTAGAAACACGCTTCTGCCTACCTCTGGTTCTCAGAACCAGAAATTCTGTGTCTAACACCTGTTTTCAATCTTATGCTCCATTTCTCAAATCTTATTATATCTCTGCCTTTTCACACTTTGTAGTCTCTCTCTAATATTTGTTTGCAAAACATGGACTCATTTGTATTGCTATAATTACTGTGATTTTTTGTCTTCTCGTCTGTAGTGGTTCCTCCCTTCTGGCAGTGTCTTTGTAACTCTTGTTCTTCGCAGATGTTCATCAGAGATGAACTCTTGGGGTAGGCATGTCCAGGCACTTTCCATTCATGGTCAGCGTATGGTTTGATTGTGTTTCTGGAAACAGAATATTATCATGTTCATGAGATAACACAGCTCTTCAGCCTTGACTTCATTGTGATTTCTAAGAGTTTCCTCCCCCCCCCACCCCACTCAAAAGGAATTTATTCATAGTTTAGCTGAAATAGGATAAGAAGGACTCCAAGTTTCTCTTCTCATTTTTGGAGGAGGTGTTACAATTTTGTACGGTTCTCTTTTTTTATTACAAGCATTTAATCCATCATGTTCTCTCCTTCAACTTCCCATGTGTTTCAAAGTGGAATAAAAGTGTATTATAGGAAGTTTTCTGAATGTATATCATTGTAGTAATGAAACATAGAAGTTCTCAGAAAAGCAACCACTCTACCACTGAGTTACAGCATCAGCTTGAAGAGGAATGGCCCAGCTTTTCTTTCATTGTTTTGGAGGGGAAAAAGTCCAAAACAGCCTAGGTGGGGACCCTGGAGTGACCTGAGGCCAAGGGCAAGCCTGAAGTCCTGCTCCAGCTCCTCCAACTTCAACCTCTGGGGTGGGATTACCTTACAGACTTGTGTGTCTTACCACACCTTTCTAGGTAGTGCTGGGGATTGAGTCCAGAGCCCATAATGCACTTGGTCTAAGGTCTACCTGCTTTTTGGAACTAAATTTGCACCAGGAGATATAGTTCTCAGGAAGAAAGTGCACCCTATAAGCTCCCCTTCTGGTGACATTCTATTCTGCAGTCATCTTGGGGGGTCAACACTGCAAACTTGTCCCTTTGTATGGTAAATGATCATATGGCTCTCTTAGCTAGTCCCCCTGAACTACAGTTTCTTCAAAAAGTAACAGCAAATCAGATCTTCAGGACCAGTTTTAACAAACCAAATAACATAGAGGCATAAATGAGGTTACAGGTGCCACGCCACTGTAAGACAGGCATGGTGTCCGTGTGCCTGCTGAACTGGTGGCTTTACCAAACACACTGATTGGCTCTTTACCACAGCACTTCCATTCCTTTGACCTTCAGGTGGGTCTAGTATTCAATTGTAACTTATTTTAAAGGTTCTCAGGGGGCAAGTTACAATCCAATTGTAACTTGGATTTTTGTGTATAGTGTCCCTTGAGTACCACAGTAGTTATTAAATAGGACTCACGCCTACCTGAGAATAGCAAGAAATGCCCCTTTCTGTCTATTAAAACAAGACTTTTCAAATATCCCCCAGAGGAAGAGCATGATCCATCTACCTACATCCATTTGGTACTCTTGATATTCAAAAGACTATACCAGAATCCCAAAGAAAAGTCTTTGTTTGCAAGTTGTACCCCTGACATCAAAGACTCGTGGTGGTCAGGGACAGACACTGCCCAGAGTGCGGACACATACAGATGGTGGCTGTCAGGAGGTGACTCATGCTGCAGATTATGCTCTTAACTAGGCAAAGAGGATTACATTTTTTTTTTTTACAGCCAGGAAGCTGTCTTTTAGTCAACTGACTATGGATTTAAAGGAACAGCTTGCTATTTTAGCAGCCTTGTCGACAAGGAAGATAGACTAAAAACTTTTGGTCAGTTTCATCTAATGCTCAGAGACTATCACCAACTAAGACAGAATTCCTGTAGACTGCAGAGGAACAGATGACTTGAACCCAGAGAACTTTGCCAACTGTAAAACCGAATAACATGGACCTTGCACTTGAAAATCAGCTGATTTTACTCCAAATATTTTATTCATATGAAGAATCCTTTTGTTTCTATATTTTAATCACGAACGCCCACTGACTTTAAAAGAGAGAGAGAGAGAGAGAGAGAGAGAGAGAGAGAGAGAGAGAATGGTATTTCAAAATTGAGCCTAAGACAAGCATTTTAGAGAGGAGAGCCGAATATAAAATTATTCAGTGGACTGCTATTGTGGCCATTCATTCAGCTGGCCTAACCTCAGTAAGCTCTGTCTAGGGCAGCATTGGCGGACAATGTCAGAAATACCACCGGGTAGAAATTTCTATGTGCACAGAATAAGGATCTTATTCATCTTGGTGTGAAGTGGCACCTGCATCTTCACCACGCAGTGTTCATTTAGAGTCTCCTGGTACATATGCCACAGCAAAAGGCAGAAGTTTTACAAGCACATTCAGGAGTGGAAGGTAACGTCTAAAATGTGAGACTGATGGCATGTGATGAGTTAACTTTTTTCCCCCAGGGTCCGTTTCCTGGTGGATGAGGGCTATGAAGATCGGATTCTCATGGCACATGACATACACACGAAACACCGACTGATGAAGTATGGAGGCCATGGCTACTCGCATATTCTCACCAACATTGTTCCTAAGATGCTCCTCAGAGGAATAACTGAGAGGGCAGTTGATAAGATCCTAATAGAAAACCCTAGACAATGGCTAACTTTTAAATAGGACGACTGTTTATGAACACAGACCTAGAGGTTAAATTTGTAGAGAATATTCCATGATTTCCAATCTGAGATGTTAATCCAAGCTACACAGGACCAATGACTGATCACTTCCCTCCTGTGAGAAACCTGATAACTATCACAGGGAAATCTCTGGTGGGGGCTACTGGGTTTAAGTGAGTCCTATTGTCTTACCTTAATAAAACAAATACAAAAGAGTGTGTTTCCAAACAATAATTTAGAGATATATCTCCCGAGTCATTTTGAATCTTTTTTCCCCTGACTCTATCATCTACACTACTTGAGAAAAATTATAGTGTTTCTAGTTAAGTTGCCCCCTTCTGGAGCAATCTAATGTTTCTTGTAATATTGATGATCCTACTAATTATCCTGCTGTTCTTTAATTAATGCTTAATGAATAATATGGCATTTTCAAATCACTTTTGCAACAAGGGAAGTTAAATTTTGAGACTTTTTTTTTCCAAAGGAGACTGCTATAAAATTACCAATTCACAACAATAAAAATATTTTGGAAGGTTAACTGTGCTTTGCACTATCTATGTAAACTTATAATAAATCATTTTTGCTGACTCTGGCTTTCTGGTTGTCATTTTTGCTGTTAGTTGTGTTGTGTTTGCAAAGCCTGTCTAAGCACGTATAACAATAGTGAATTACAAAAATGAAATCATAAAAGTAAAAATATATTACATAATATAGTTTAATGAATCATTACAGTTATAATAACAAAGGCCACAATTTAATTAATTCATAAGTTATAATGCAAAGAAAAAGAGAAATGCTTGCCTTATATATAGTCCCTTTATTTCATTTACCTTTTATTTCTTTTTTCCTCAGGCCTAAACAGAGAAAATAATGCTTATTTATCTAAAGAAAAGGTCAGATCTATTGGAAATGACAGTCTGTTTGTAAATGTTACTCTTTAGAAGAGATCCAGCCATGAAGTTCTTTGCTAATAATTCCTTTTCAAAATTGTTAGTTAAGACGCTTAATTGATGTACACTGTTGTTTGTGAGCTAATCCCTTGATCCTCTCTGCCAATCCATCTTTGAAAAATATATGTTGTTAAATAGAAATTAAAACTGTGGCAATTCATTTATGAGTTACCTTATATATTAGAAGGGCCAAATCGAATCAGTCACTACTCTTGATGAATGATCTAAGTGTTTTTTATCATATAAATCATGACCATTATTCAGACCAAGGCATTTAAACACGGCAGACACCACCTTTAGATGGGAACACCATGCAAATCTCTTGGAAAGTTGAGGTTTTGCTAAACTAAAGCTATTTCAGTTGATCATAGCTGATTGAGCTCTCTGTGTATTAGAACAAAAAGTACTGAAGTGAAATGAGCCAGGGGGACGGCCCCATTCCTTTAAAGGGGAAAATGCAAATGTCTTTCACCAGCAAAGTACACAGATTTTTAAATCTCTGGTTTTGAAATCTACTTGTCAAAGACTGTTTAAAGGCAACTGAAATGGGAACAGATTTTCCATTGTAAGAGGGGAAGTTGTGTGCTAGTAGGATATATTCTCATGCATTTTGATCTTTCCCTTAGATTAAAGAGATAGCTCTTGGCAGTGTGTTTTTAACTAGAGAGAATGAGTTTGCACTATACTGTCAGCTTCAATCCACCAGATAGAAAGGAAAGAATTGACTATTCCAATGTATATGTTTCATAAACATTGTGAAGGACTGTGCTTGCTTCCTGAAGTCCCTTATTAATGGTCTGCCAGAGAATGCAGTTAAAATATCGATTGCATATGGAATACAGTGACCATGGAATCAACTAACTCACACATGTTCAATGTGGGGCATTTGAATCTGCTGAGGTTTCATTTTCTGGATAACTCTTAAAGAGAAGTCACTTTTATTATTTTGTTACCCTATATATTTGTATCATCTAAAATATATTTCAATCTAAAATAAGTCAAATAATTTGTGCATGGTTCTGTGTGTATACATATATACTTTTTAAATTAGTTTTTTGAGCTGTACAGCCACCACAACTAGTGGACTGAAGCCAGGTATATATAATATTTCATCTAACATATATGTATATAAATAAGTGTGTGGCAGATACTTATATAAAATATATACACTTTGTAATCATATTGGTTCTATGTGAAACTGTTAATTTTGAAATAACCTCAGGCCACAGATTTGTGGTAACTGTTTGAAGGCCTTACTTACTGTCCCCTTGATGATGCATGCAGTAGCTCAGATTAAACCTTCGTGCCTTAGGTTATGAACAATCTTTTGTTCCAAAGAAAGCAAAGCCTCTATCTGACTTCATACCAAAGAATAAATTTCTCTGACTGTTCAAGTGAGTCTAAATGTATTCTATTGACAAAATGGACACACAGGTTTTTTTTCTAAATACCATACATAATTACACATTTTCACACTTAGAGGGTAATCCTATATGATACAGTTTCAATCTCTATTTTCTTAAGACTATCACCAGAAAAGAGAAAAAAATTTCACATGAAAAGAAAAAAAAATGTGAAAATGATCACAGGCTTGGGAATTCCCACAAATCCAGAAAATTCCAGGTTAAGGCTTGAAGTTGAATCATTCCCAGGTCTAGCTCTAAAGTTAACGAGAGTACAAGGCAAACAATATCTTTGGGGACAAGCAGCATTACTTCAATTAGACCTTCTCCTGCAGGGTAAAATGACTCCTCCCCACACTACAAATAGACTCCGAGTATCTTAATAAGCGGGTAAACTCACAAGAACCAAAGCTGACACATGGATAAAAGCAGCAAGATCACAGTACACCAAAGTATCATAGATATTGAAGAAATAATTCAGTGTCTTAGATTTTTCTATAAAAATTTGTGATCTATATAGGACTTCATTCACATGGACACTAACAATAAGGAGTATTTGCTTTGGCGGTAGTGGATCACACATCTGCTTATCTTGCGTTAAATACTTTTTTACATAATGTGTCTGAGTGATACAGATGTGAGTCAGGTAGCATTTGATCTCCCCACATTTACACAACCGAGATGCCCTGCAGTCGGCATCCCCCGGGATCCTTGATTCACTGACGTTAGCCATACGAATCCATCGTTCCAACTCAGAATAGCAAGTTCAGTTTCTGCATTATCAGTCAGCATAAATAATAAATCCAGAAAATGTGCTGTATTTGTTGTTGTTTCCTCCATGGGCTTTCCCACCATCTAATTTGATGTAGACTTCATCTCCTGGTTCCAGGTGAAGGACCACACTGTTGCTGGCATAGTCGTAATTCTGGTCAGCATCTTGGGCAATTGCACTAGCGCGCACCTATGTGAAACAGACAAGAATTAGAGTGCCTAAAAGAGAATCTTCAAGTTGCCTGTTTTGCATAATAGGAGACTTTCTGCCATAGCATAGAATGTAGCACAGTGGTGCTGTCTTTGGTCCCACAGCTTTAGAAGGAATTGCTGTAACAACTTCAACTGTTACTAGACAAGAGAAAATGTTGCTTTCATAAGGGACACTGTAGCAATCTTTTCTTTCCTTGTAAATAAAGCATGCCAATCCAATTTTCTCTTAGATTACTGCTTTTTCTAATTCCTTCAGTCTCCACTTTCAGTCACTTTTTGAAATGGAAATGGCAGTATTGTTTTGCATTTTAATCTAAGCCAAATAGCAACATTCCTGTGTACTTCCAACCAACTGTGTACTTCAATGGCTCATCATAATTATTAGAAAACTGATATCTCAAGTGGCAAAAGACCTAGGGAAATACCACTTTGCTACTATGTAGAGGGTAGGGGGGAAGCTTTTTTTAGTTTAGAGCCCTGGAAATCTGATACAAACAAAGCCCCTGTTAACCAGGTTTCTTCAGAAGCACTTAGTTCATTTAAATATCTTTGTTTATATCTCCCAATTTCCAAACTTCCATTTACTTGATGGTGTCTTTTTGTCATTTAATTATATATGCCTTTAAATCGACCAGATCCAAAAGTTTTAGAAGGAATTAAATTTGTGACCTGACATTGCTCAGTTCTCTAGGAGTTCTGCATGGTATTGTTGCATAGCTTTTCCGATCTGTGAGATTGTAAATGTGTCTGTTTTTGAGGATGGGAGCTGACTATAATCTGCTTATGTTCTGCCGTTAGTCTCATTAGAGAGTTGATCAACATTTGCAAACAGTCAAATTGCCTATCATATCATGTCATATGGACATTCTGTCACACTCTCTCCTTCAGCTTCATTTAGACATATTTTGATTCTGCCATGGGAAAAAAAATCTTTCAAAAGGCAGGCTTGTGTGTGATTTATTTCAGTAACACATCTTCTACTCTGGCTTGTTTCGGTTCCACTATAATGGTATTTCCCTGAATAACATAGCAAGTGATTTAGTGGTTTTTGTAAACCTGCACTATGTAATAATGTATGACTTGGGGTATAATATGCTAGGTTTTATCACTTGGCAAAATGAGAGAAAGGAGACATAAGTCAAGAATTTCCATGCATGTCTTTCAAAAATCTAACTGATGGGCTTTCAAATTAAATTTTCATGGGAAGATACGTTCTCACATTAATGCTGAAATGCCATAAAAGGAGAAGGCTCTTGGACACCACTGAACTTGCAAAGTAATTTGAGTAGTATTTTAACATTTTTTCTTTCTGAGTATCATATAGCAAAAGGAGAGAAGGGCTTAAAGGATTTAGAATTACTTATCACTATGCTAGCTGGCATTAATATAATGAAACCAATATGCTGCATGATTATACTCAAAAGCCTTGACTCAAATGTGTGCACCGTACTGAGGTGATCCATTTTAACCATTACATAACAATGCATTTACACTTCATAATATTTCCTAGAAATTAACCTTCAGTTTATAGAAGCCGAAGGCTTTTAGTTCATTTATTTAATCTGGTTATTAATTCCCAGTGAAGAAAATCTACACAATGAGAATGTCATCATTATAGCTTGACTTTTAGAAATGTAGACTATTAATGGATGTGAAAAATTAAAATACAAACTAGCAATTATCTACATTAGCAATATGTTAATTAATCATCAAACTAATATACTTCTCAGCTATTACAAATGAGAATGCAGTTTATTCAGCACTTTGGATATTTAGTATATGCTGTATGAATGTTGTCCATTATCATTGTTTTCTACATGAAACCTTTAGGAGCCAGGACCCATTGAAATCTTTGAGTTAGAGACTATAATCTTTTTAAAATATACAGTGAAGTTTTTAATTCTATAGAATGTAGCCACAAAACTAAGTAAATGTTACCAGTTTTAATTCAGTAGGTAAAAACCATAGAAACCTGCTAATGCATTAGTGTGACTCCACACACTAGAAGGTTATCCTTAGCGTGTTTTATTTCCTTTGTTGGAAAAAGCCAGTATGGTGGCTTTATAATAAAAAGCAATTCCCTAAGATTTTTACCTATGCAGCAGTAAAGGACTTTTTCAATTAAATACCCACCATCTGCCAGTGTCCATGATGTCAGTATGCCTGTCCACCCATCACACTCTAAGAGTATAATGGGACTTGGAATTTCAAGCTCTGATATGTATCCCACTGACTTCAGCAATTCTTCCTTGAAGCCATCAAACTATTGAGAAAGGTAATGTGTTCACCCTGAAGGCTATTTTCAGATTCCTAAATGTGCACCTATTTCAGCATTTTGTCAGGGAGCATAATGCATCCTTTCTCAGCCCGATATACCCATTTATTCCTAAATTCTCTTTAATATCATTTTCTTAGTATGCTAACTATATTGTTTTTGCTTTACCTTCAGTATGTATTGCTCTGTTTCTCAAGAGATAACTAATTTGGCATGGCACATCATCACTCTTTCTGACAAATGAATGTAAAACCCCACAGTATTCATTCTTTCCGATGTGGTTCACGTACATTGTTACCATAACTAATAAATTCTTGTTAAGTGAAAGGCTTATCTCTAATTATTTTATATGACTAATCTTCTGGCAATTTAGTTTTATTGTGGTGGCTTATGATAATGACATTATAGTAACTGTATTCAGAAACTATTTTTTCAGGTTTTTAACTACAAGTATACAAGCATTAGGAATTCTTCCTGTATCTATATAAAGCTATTTAAGCTCTATTTTTTACCTTTCATATGTAATGTGATGGCCTCTCAACAATTGATACGATTAAGTGTAGGCTAATGGTTTCATGGGGGAATATGAAAACCATTGTCCTTTATAGGACATGATAGGATTGTGAGAATATAATAGGCTGTATAGTTTTAGCATTGTCTTATTATTGAGGGGTTATCATTATACAAAGTATTTATGGTAACATTTGCTAATTTAATTAATTGCTGCTGATGTTGTGGTAATTTCATTTTCATTGTACTCCTGTGGAACCATAAACAAAAGGTTAAGTGGCACATCAGGTTAATTTATTGACCTTTGATGTTTCCATCTGTGACCCTACATTCAACACAAAGCATAAATAAGATGGCCCTCATATGGTTATGATGCAGGCACTGCCCCCTCCTACAGTGAAAGACTGCATTCTTCCCTTGGTGCTTCGTCTCTGTGCTTCTGAAAATCCACTTAATCCACAGAATATCACTCTGACATGGCTCTCTGAGTTTCAGTTTTTATAAAAACAAATTAGGTCAGTTCAGAAAGGGAACTGTCATTCTAAGAAACAACCTTACAGACTATAATTGAAAATCCAGAATAAAATATTTACTTAAAATTAATAAAAAAAAAAGAGATTTTACAAGATTTCCCACTTGGCACTGGCTGCAGCCAACCAGACTTTATGAAAGTTTTATTCTAAAGACCAAATTCCTTAGCCAAAGTATTGCAGCAACCTTTTTCTGAGACTGTCCACACTGAACTCAGAAGGACTTTGTTTACCACTATTGATATATTTTTCTGAATTACCCGTTACCCACTTTTCGACAAAGCAGCAACTGGATAAGCAGCCAGTGTTTTACCCACTTGCTTTCCTGACTCCCATAGAATCTGTATGCTCAAGTGACACATGCCCCAATGAAATGGTTTAAAACACAAAACACCTGCATGTTTGCATTTTAGAATTCATATACAGAATGCTTTCTATTGACTCAAGGGTATATGCCAGAGTCTGCCCTCTAACCACCAGCGTCTGAACTAACTCCATTGTGCAGCTTCCTAGGGCTTCCTGCATTTGCAATCTCCAGATATTTTAAAAATTACCATTTCTATTATTTGTTGACAAAACAGGAATTTTAGTACATTTTAATGGGTGGCCCTAAAAATATCTCCCCAGTATAGTTTTACAGACACAACTTTTGAGTCAGACAGAGTCAATGTATAAATGAAAAGGTCCCCATGGCTGCCTGCTGGAGGATTGGGGGGTGGCATTCCTAAGCCATTTGGTCAGCCAGACACAATGCCTCTATTTTGGTATAGTGAGCCATACCCTTTGTAGCCACATACCTGCAACTACCTAGCCTAGTGTTCCGGGAACATTTTTTATTTATCTTACTGTTATTTTCATGCATATTAACTATAATGAACAACCCGGTCAGTGCCTCCTGGTGGCCATGTTTCCTTTTTTTGTTGTTTCTGGTATTTTGACAGTTCTTTAAAGGATTTGCAGAAAAGAGGAATCAAGGGACATTGAAAAAGTGTTTCATACATTTACATTTAATCTTTTACCTTTGAAAAAATCCTGACACTAAATTGGGTCTTGAGGAAAACAAACAAACAAACAAAAACAAACAGGCCCTAAAGGTGCTCAGTAGAAAATAGGGGTTTAGCTAAAATCGGAATTTCCAGGGGACCAAAGACCTGCAACACAACAGCCCTTGTTAAGTCAAAATTACTGCTCGAATTGAGGTATCTTGGGAGGGGGGGGATGGGTGGCAGGATCACTAGGTCTTTCTTACTGTCAGTAAGCAAAGTTTAGGGCTCAGGTACTCAGCTCCTACAGCAGGCTACAAGTGCCAAGGCCTCATCCTGGTGCCATGGACTCGGAGTGTGCACAAAGTCCGATTACACTTTTAGATAGAAATGTATTTTCTTTCTGTGGCTAAAAGATGAAAAAATGCATCAGTTTTGCACTGGCTTGCCCTTGGTTCTAGCAAAGTATCCTTGGCCCATAGATACTGCAGACCAGTGGCCTCTCTGGCACCACCCACCAGCTCTGAAGAGCAGGTCCGGGTTGGGGCTCACCTGAGGATATTTTACAGCCAACGCAGGGAGTCTGTGATCAAGAAGCCTAGAGTTAGAAAGCCTCTACCAGTGTGCCTCCGGGGCTCCCCGGTGATGACTCTGACCCTCCACCTTCCCAACCACCTCCTTGTGTATTTTCCTACTCCAAACAGTGAAGTTGGGGTTCCGGTGTTTGGGTGCGAGCAGCTGTATTTCTGCAGAGTAAACGCAACTTTTCCTTTTCACAGCAGTACCTCTTTCAGAAACTAGCCGGAGTGTAAAGTAACTGAGTTTCACTGCCTAAGACCTCGCGCGCGCGGCACAGTGTTGTCTAAGTCCCGGATGGTCCTGTCTGAGACTCACTCTTGGGGGTCCTTCCTTTCTCCCCGGGATCCTGGTCTATCTCCCCAGAGTCTGGGGCCCTGACACGCCCATTTCGGGCTCCAGAAGCCTGCTACGTTCGCAGAAAGGCTGTAAAGGACCCTAAGCTGCTGAGGCTCTCACCCGCCAGGGATTTTTGCCCAGCGCCCCTACCCAGCTCCCCTAGTACACGAACTGTCCCAGGGCCAGACTCCCAGTTTCTCGCCCCTCGAGGGTCGTGCCCACAATTCGGATCTGACACCCTAGAACCACCCTCCCCAGGCTCCTACGCGTATGACCCCCATCACTCCAGCATGTCACAGAGTCCCCCTTGCCCTGGCTCCCGGGAGCCGGGTTGCCGCGCCCTTCCTCCGCGGCCTCCCACCCCCATTTCCGGGGTCTCCTCCCTCTTGCTTGTACCTTCCCGCACTCGCTCCCCGCCCTCCCCACTGCCTGCTCGCGCTCACCTGGTTGTTTTTGCAGAGATCAGCCCACATGCTGGTGCCGTCCCCTCCGCGCATCAGGACGTGGTAGGTGAAGAAGTAGATACCCGGGATGGAGCAGGTGAACTTGCCCGTAGTGGGATCATAGTGGTT